AGAGTTGCAGAAGCATAGGAGCTTCCAGCGCCAGTGTCTAATAAAGCTCTACACATGATTCCATCTACTTCTACCACAACTATTGGATATACGACTGCTCATTCGCCTGTAGCCACAAGTAGGGGGGTTTTACTTTCACAAATCGAGGTGTGATGTCTTCTCTTGCAATTGCGACATCCAAATTGGCTTCGACATTCAGATGCTTTATGACTTTTTCCTGTACAGTTAAAACATAGTTGTTTAGTGGACAGGATCTTTTTGCGGTCAGCAACAGTAACAACACTCTTACGTTCGGCTGGCTTATGATCAGTGTTCTCACAATAAATACATGGTTTTGGTTTGGATTCTTGTTGCTTTGTTTGGAAGCTTCTGGTTTTCTTTGTACCAACTGAATTGGTGTCATTAATCTTTTCCTCCTTTTTGATTGGGTTTCTTACTGTCCACTTCCCTAATGCTTCAATCAATTCTGGGAATTTCCACTCTTGCCAGCAGTCATCAGTTCGAACTAGATCTCCACGAATTCCTTCCAATTTATCAATAGTCATTCGAACATAACCAGCTATTTCTTTCAACTTCCCCAGGGTTTCAAGCGATTGGGCATTCCATAGAAGCTTCTCGTAAAAATCATGTATCTTTGCAGGATTGGAGCCCTGGACCCGAGGTAGCAATAATATGTTCTGGATGTAGGCATTAACTATTTCGGTAGTATTCCCGTACTTGCCCTTCAAAATAGCTTTGGCGCGTTCGTACCCTTCAGAGGTCAGGGGTAAACCATCAATACGGCTTCGAACTTTTGCATCTAGCAGCTCTTTCAGGTAGGAAAATTTAGTTACAATAGGTATTTCAGCAGCCTCTATCTCCGCCTCAAACTGATTCCAAAATCTGAGCCAGTCAGTAAATTCGCCGTTAAATTTCGAAATAACAAGTTTTGGTAGCTTTGAATTTGACCTTGAAAGATTATCCTAAGTCTTGACTTGAGCTTGGCGGCTTTCTTCGATTTTCTTCTCATACATCATTCGTTGTTCAAATTTTTCTTCTTCAAATTTCATCTCTCTTCCGAATTGTTTCTGCTTCATTTGCTCTATAAGTTGTTCTTCGTCTTGCTTTGTTTGTTCCAATGATCTTTTGTTCAGTTCCTTTATCACGCTTTCAAGCCTTTCTATATTCCCTTCAAAAGTCGTCAACTGGCTGTCGATATCCGAGCTCCACTCACGTATATTATCTGTCTCCTCGTCACTTTGAATTTTAAGCTCTTGTATTTCAACTTTTAAACTGTATACTTCTTCCAATTTCGTTTTGAGCACTCTTTGTTGTCTTTCGAGTGACGGTACGTGTCCTTTCTCAATTGTTCGTTGTGTTTTTTCATCGGTTAGCTTCAGTAGTTTGATCTTAGTCTCCATCGATTTCAATTTACCTTCGTAGGTCGCCATATTTTCACAAATTTCACACAAATTTCCCGAGATTTTCGCTTAAAATCACAGTTCCCATTCACGTCAGAGGTGCCACTTTTTCGATAATCGCTTTATGAGACGACAATAAAGACCTACGATTGGTTCTATTCCTTTTTAATATCTAAAACATGCTAATTTTATACTAAATAAATGCTCTCGAAAAACAATAACGTTCCGCCATCTTGGATTCTCACACGTGTTTTTATAACCCTATTTATCCCTACATATCCACATTTATAATGTCCTGTCCGTCTCTATCTCTAGATATCAACTTGAATTATCGCTTGTCCGTCTATATCCCTACACTTTCCCACACACGCATTTTCATAAAAATAGCAACCCTTCGGCTAAACAGGATTCTGATTATCATATTGAGCGACATCAAAATCATGGGAGTTTCTGCAAAGTGCATTAGACCGATATTACCTGTAGCACTATTTCATGACCTAAACATCGCACAGATACACTTATGCAAGTTTTCTACTCACATTGGTCGCTCAGACATGCACCACCCGCCGTGGGAGCGGCAGATCAAGGTCATAATCAGGAGATTATGGTATTGTGTCAATGTATTGACGAAGTTCTTATTATATTACCAATATATTATTTAATAACATTAGGGGAGCCTCCCATATCGATTTTGTCCATGAGAAACGTCATATGTTCGTTTCTCTGGACACACCTTAGAAACGTCACACATAGTTATCGATATTTTGTTCTTTAATATAGTACACATAATGTAATTTTCTACTATTTTCTACGGTCGGCTATTGGCGATGCTTCCGTGAGGAGTATGTCATCAAAATTTCCAACGTTTCCCAAACCAACTTTTTTGCATGAAATATTGATAATTTTAGCGCGTTTTTTTAAAAATTTGAGTGTTTTCAGTGCAAGCCAGTATATAAAACAGGTATGGTATTACGAATGTAATTTTTTTATCAGTGCAAAGATGATTCCGAAATGTCAAGGCTTCCGAAAAACTATCGAATTTTTCCATCATGCCGTAGACACCAGCAGAATCGTTGTAACTGTACTACTGTATGTGTATATTGAAAGTGTAGAATTAGTGCAGGTGTAAGTTAAGTATACATGTAAAGCAATTCGAATTCAAGAATGTTCCGTACACGATCGCTTGTATATATTGTAATTATATTTTCACAAAATTGTATATATTCTTTTGAACAAGCTAAAAAAGTTTACTCATGGGTAAAACAGGTGGGAAATTTGTCGTCGCTGACCAAAAAATTGCGGGCAGAAACAAAGGTCATTGCATTTGCATTCAAAACAAAGCAGAAAGTTAGCAAGAAGCTGTTTTAGCTGACGATTTTTTGCTTTCCATTCAACGATTTACAAATTATTGGTTATTCTTTTAAAAGTCGATCATGAATTCTTTGTTTTGGGATGATTGTTTTGTAATCGAGTGATTGGAAGAAGTTAATATGGCGACGTGAACATGGGAGTAAATACCGTATACGTCGATCTATGGCTTGTTTAAAACCGTAATAAACGAAGAAAGACGTGATTTGAGAATGAAATGTAAGTTGAAATTAACTTTATATGCCTCAAATTTTCCATCCTATGTTTCTTAATGCAACTTTAGCTGTCTAAGTTCAAAATACAAGCTCGCGAAATTTGACAAATTTTGAAAATATGTAAAAATAGCTTGACTTTGAACTGTATTTTCTCAAAAATAGCCCGTGGCCTCAATTTCAAATATAGCTAAATGAAAAGAAAAAACTTTTCGACGTTTGTAGGTATGAAACATATCGTCAGGAAAATAGGGGCTCACAATGTTTTAGTTCAGTCTTTGAGACCCAGTTGCTTCGCACGTGTTGTGGTCAAATTTTTGCCAAGAATCAAAGGCCGAAGTGTGAACTTCCTTCATGAAAACCGCTTTGAGAAGGGTCTAGTTTGAAAATTTAGCTATTAATTTCGATTTCATGAGCATATTTTGGTTACACGTTAAGTATTTTTGTGCTTGATGAGATTCAAAATTTGTTGTATATTCAAGCCCGGCTTTTGTGTAATTTTGGTGATGACCGGAACAGAAATAAAGATATTTTAAAAACTGGCCGTGGCCTCAATAAAACTTTCTACAAATGTTCTCTGTTTCATGTACTTTTATTTGATATCTTAGGTATAAGCGTAAAAATAGGGGCTCATACAGTTTGAGAGGTTGTAAAATGTATGCGAGTTGCCTCTATTTTCATGTAAACATTCGAAATTCTTCGACAGCAAAGTAGCAACTGTTTCAGATCGAATGCACACACGGACAGCCCACCAGAGACAATGGCAGGGTACTGAAATAGAACGTCCCTAAAAAATTCTGTATGATTAATTTAGATCATGTCCACTCTTTCAACATAAAACAGTCATTTATTTTGTACAAACATTTGGCAATATTTACACGATTGTGCCTTTTTGTAAACACGCGTTGCGTGTATTTCACGCAATTTGCTTGGCTCATTTTACTCGCGCATGCTCAGACAAATTTCTCACCTGTTCATGGGTAATAAATCAGCTTATTTTAACTCTTCTATTACTAGTGTCGGCGTGTCGCTGATCAGCGAACACGCGAATGTAAACAAACAGCTAAAAATAGACCCAATTTGGAGATTTATAACTTTTCAGAAAATTGCTTGCAGACGAGTTTTATTCCTGATTACTTAACTTTAGTAGGTATACTTTCAAATTACATGCCTTTTGAACTTCAGATAGGTGCCACTTTTGAGCTATTTTAAATAAAATATGAGCAATTTTCAGCCTCTCGTCGCCATCTTGAAAACATAGTTTCGTAAAACTATAAAAAAAAATCGTATTAAGCATATAAAGTTGTTCAATCTCCATGTAAACGAGAGTATTAGTGTTAATCTTGCATGTGAACAGTAACTGGAGGGGATAAACGCATCACAACGTTTTTAAAAAATCAGATGAATTCTTGTAAAATTCCCCTTCATTTCCGGTCTGAAAATAATCTCGCAAGGTCAAATTTCAACATGGCTATAACTCCTATAAAACAGAAAGTTGAAACGTTCTGAAAGAAGCTCGATTAATATTGACCAAAGTCTAGTTCATATGCAAAATATGAGCTAAATCTATTTTTCCTTCCCCAAACCAGTGAGTGGATTTTACTGAGAGGCCCTCTTAATAGTGCGAAAGTTAATCAATCAAAATCTCGTGTTTTAGAGTTACAATTAATAGTGGCTAAAAACTAGTTAAGACGTGCAGAATATAATATTTAGAGACTAATTTAATCTTTATTCTGTGCAGGTACGGTTAAAAGGAGTTTTATACAACCGGCCCCTGTATACTGTATAAATTATACTAAATTTCATGCATGCCTGCTCAAAATATTTACTTGTATTCTTATTTTACGGAGTAAAGAGAGTGTGTACTGTAGAAGAGCTTGATTTATCAAACCATTATTCTACTGATAAACTCGATCTTTCATATTAGTTTCCATTATTTGGCACATCAAGATGTTCTTTAAATTCGTAGTTTTTTGTCAATTTTACAAGGAATATTCTTATAAATGTGATTCTTAAGATAATGAAAAGAAAGCTCCCAGACAATGGACATGAGACTGACACTAAAAGCAAAAAGAAAAAGCGACCACCGACCTTAGAGAAGGACACGCGATGGCTCAATGGAAGATTATGCCCAGTCAGAGAGCAGAATGCCTGGTTTGTAAACCCAACGACAGAACTTCCAGATGGGTATTGCAAATTCAAAGATGTGCTTTTGCGTCCAAATTGCATATCTCAATATGTTCTACCCGTGATGGAGGGTGATATGCTGGAATTCATCTTAGGAGATCGAGACAAGACGAAACCTATGGCACGAAATGTACGTGTATCTCAGTATACACCGCGAACTTATAAGGAATTGACTGAGTATATCAGAAAGCTAACTAAGGATTTGGATAGTGTTAATGTGGGGAAAGTACTCGTGCAAGTATTGCCATGTAATGCATTGTGGAGGTTTCTTGGGTCACCTGAGTTTACTGAAAGCACAGCAGGTTCGTAGGTTTCATAATTCATTAAAATCTCTGTCGGCTATTTACGTATTTGCTTGCTTACACAACTTTCATATTATATGTTATATATTGATCATTTATAGACCCAGAGCGAGGGGGATTCGGCGAAATATTACCCCAAGTGATGATATTTCCCGAGGGGCTTTTCGCCGAGGGAAATATCATCACTGAGGGTAATATTTCGCCCAATCTCTCGAACGGAAGGTTTGTCACTTATATTTAGAATCCCATAAAATCGTTTGGAATATTGATGATAACATTTTTTTTAAATTTGGTTCATAATTTAAAATTAACAATCGCTTTCTTTAAAGTTATAAACTTTAAAGGATAATTCATCTCTCCACAGGGCTTATTTTAGTGTCCGGTATTGCACACTTTGTGCAGTGTTGAATAAAAAGTGTGCAGTATTAAATGCGAAAGTGTGCAGTATTAAAATTTGAAGTTTGAAATAAATTTCAACTTTGTATTAGAATAGATGTGCTCAAGGAGCGAAGTAGATGAAATATAAAGTCGAGAATTCCAAAATGCCTTTACAACAAAATGAGCAAAGGCACAAACATGAAACAAAGATTGGCCAAATATATGCCAAGTTCCAGTAATAATTCCAATATTCAATATTTTCATGTCCAGAAAAGCCGGTGTACTTCTTTCCTTCACAAGAGGAAGAGCCTGGGAACGAGGTTGTCATTTGTGTCGCATCATCGAAATGATCGAATTACTACAATAGCCGGTTATGGCTGATTTGAATTTGAAAGGTTTACTTTTTTGGGGACACCCTGTATGTTGTCATTATGACACCTGCTCTGAAAAAACAATTCAAAGATGACAGAAAACATCACAGGGTGATGTCATTGACACCTGCTCTGAAGTGTGCAGTATTGAAATTTTATTTTGTCGGCCATCTTGTTTGCGCGTGATCGCCGCGTGTGGTTTACGCGAATCATATCACCCGGGTGATATGATAAAAACCACCCCGTGTGGTATTACCCACTACGTCAAATACGATCGATGATGACGTAAGGCGCGATTCGATGACAAATTTATGCTCACGTGCCACAAACTTAGCTTTCAGACTGGACACTTTGAATTTGAGGTATAATATTTAACAATTATTGAATGAGGTTGAGCACAATATGAAGAATTATCAAGCCCGAAGTTTGCCGTTATCAACCGAAGCCGAAGGCTGAGGTTGATAACGGCAAACTGAGGGCTTGGTAATTCTTCATATTGTGCGAAAACCGAATTCAATAATTGTTTTATTATTTATTTAAAAATTTCAAAACAAATTGTCATCTATTTGTTCGCCCACGTCACGTTATAAATCAGGAAAAGAATTAGGAAACTGAGTGTTCTTACCTATTCTAGAAGCTTTTGTTGATCTTTTTGTATTTAACGAATCTTTATCTTCCAGTAATTTTTGAATTTCGGCTTCGTCAAGCTTTGCAAAACCTTTCAGTGGAAGAAGCCATTTGTAATTTATTTGTATTAAGACTGAAAAAACAATTCCTTAATCCTTCGGCAGCCGTTGTCGTCATAGCAATGGCGTCAGCGAGTCAATATGATTCTCGTTGTCATAGTAATATGGCGCAAACGCGTCCAAATTTTTTTCATATTGACTCTTTGACGTCATTTTGCTGTTATGAATGTGAAAAATCCGTATTTGGTTAGCCATTGAGTTGATATGACAATTTCACAGTTCGTTGTAAGCCAATCAGAAACCCGGAATTTTTTTAAATAAATAATAATATCATTTCTCTTAGGCCAATGAAAATTGATATCATGTTTCTCGTCCCCGCCCGCATGGGATTTATCTGCCGCACGAAAATATTTCATTATTCATTATTTTTGAAAAATAGGCTTAACAAAACACCAAATTGATCTCCAGATCAAAGTCTTATTGCTGCATTCCGCAAGCCCAACTCAAAATTGTATCTTTCTAAAGATATTACTCGCCAGAATGCCTCTATTTTTCATGACAGCCCTGGTATGAATATAAATATACTGTAGTGTTCTGTAGTGTAGGACGTATTAAATTAAAATGAATTATACACCGATTTACTTCAGATGTTTATGGGTTTTTTTACTGGTTCAAGGAAATTATTGACAAGTACTTCAAATAAAGAAAAAATGAAAAATGAAAAAATCCCGCTCCAAATTTTTGAAAATCGTGGACGAGAAACATGATATCAATTTTCATTTGCCTTACTACTATTCTTTGATTTACTTAGGAACTCTTTATTCTGCCTTACATCAAATTCGTATGATTGTAATGACCAATTTACATACAGTACAACATCTTTATATGATATCGGTGCACAACTGATCCTGTTGGTGAACAGTGTATATAGCTACAAGAGGACTTGAGTGCCTAAAGAAATTAAACCTGTCATGTTGAAAGAATTCTGACTTCTTACGTGTGACTGAGGTGAAATTACAATAAGACGACTGAATGGTGGATGACTAAAGCAACTATCACAGTTTTTAAAGCACTGTGACACAAGGCCTTGTCCGCCATTTTTGGGTAGCAAACCCGCAACAACAAAGGACAACAACAAATACGTAAAAGAGTGATTTCGCGGTGAAGCAAATAGTACTGCCTTATAAGCAATAGTGCTGTGTTTCTACTTCGCTAAATTACCCATTTCTATTTTCCTCCTACGATTTGGCGGATTTGCCAACCAAAAATGGCGGACAAGGCCTGGCCCCATGATGTGAGAATGAGTAATTGAAATAACTTGTCTGCAGTTTTAATAGCCAGCTAAGAGTTTTTGTATTCAATGATTTACCGTGTTTTATTTAGATACAAAAAGTGCTAGAATCACCTACATTGAGCTTCTCCTAAATTTACTAAAGCGTATCTTACACAACGGGACCGAACATTACAAGACCCTTTTGGAAGATGCCATCAAGAACATCACACGCGGAAAGATATTTCAAACAACAAACGACTTCAGCCTGCCAGTGATTATCAAGTATTGCAATTGTGGAAGCAATGAACAGTTCTACTGTGAAGACCAGAAAAATGCCTTATCCGCAGAGCTCGTTCGAAGCTTTTGCCATGATGCTATTCGACAAGTACCATCTATAACTTGTTATCTCCTGCCCACAGTTGTTGCTATCAGCGAGAAGATATCGAACCCTTCCACACAAAGTTTTTTATGCACACTCTTATCGCTTAATTTTGCAGGAGCAAATGAGTTTATTGCTAATGCAAATACCTGGATGAAATTACCTTTAATACCAACTGATCGTGAACTAGCCGGACATTTGGTTGAAGAAGACAAAAACCTGATGCCTGTGAGGACTCGCATTCCCTACGATAATCCAGAGCAGTACATGGATACCTACTTTCGATTGGTCCGTGCCGAAACCTTTTCAGCAGTGCAGCATGGAATAAAAGATCTCAAGGCTTCCACACTGGATCCAAGAGATATGAATGTCTATTATAACATCCACCTTGCTGGCTTTGGGCTTCAAAGTAGTCGGTTCTCGCTGGCGATACATTTTACACCAACAAAGAAAGTGAAAAGATGGGAAGCCTCACCTCAACTTATGTATGGTAACTTGGTGTGTCTCTCCATCAACGAAAAGTTTGATGACGTCATTTGGGCAACGGTGTCCAATAGGGATGCAGATTTATTGAACCAACATCAGATCATTATGCTAGAGTTGTTGGATGAGAATGTCAAGGATATAAGCGAGATTATTAACTTGCTACAAACTCAAGGAGGTATTTAAGATTTTTAGTGCATATATGTCTTGCACCTCTCATGAGATTGCGGTTAGATTCCAGAAATTTACAGTTTTCTTTTGTCTCATGTTTATTTTGTCACATGTGTAATTAATATGAGTGTACAGTTTTGTCTGGGTACCTTTCTGTACTGACATAGGATTAATAAGGAATGGGGTTTACTTGAAAACTAATTAATATCATTATCTAGTGTAAATAAATGTAATTAGTTTAAGTTAGGTTTCCTTCGTAGTAAAAGTCGACCAATAAAGTACAGCCGTTACCTGACCTCCAGGGGAACAGTCTGCAAATACTCGAGTAATCCAAAGCAGCACGATAGGATTATTTTTGTCTTACATCTGTCGAAAATGATAACTATAACGCACGATCCTATATAAGCTGTTCCATGCATGCAACTAAAGATTATGTTGCCCTCAAATAATGCCGCTCCTATCTTTGACTACGAGATTTTTTTAGGCAGCGAAAGTTTTTCATTAAATTCCTTTTCGAAATTTTTGAAAATTTGCACCCTTATGAACATTTAGAATAATTATCATTGACTGGGGCTCGTATATTATCTCGTTTCCCAAAAGGTTCAGGAGTCATGGTAGAATCACCGAAATACTACCACTCGCTAAGTCCCATTCTGCGAAGTCTGAAAGAATTCGACATGAAAAGCTTTCCTCTTCAAAAGGAAATCATCTACGCTGAACCTGCGCTTGAGCAACCTAGGTACTTGAAGGAAGCCACGTTTGATGCCTCAATAATTTTCTCGACAACTATAGCGGAGGAAACACAGAAAGGTAAGCCTGGAGAATAAATATCTTAAGGGCAAGCGGAGGAGAGAACCTCCAAGAAATAAAGCCCTGTACAGACAAGCATGTTTTTCTTGATAAGTTCCTTGACGAGTTTACTTACTCGTAAAATTTGCAAGTAAAACTTTATTGTCAAGTAAACTTGTGAAGGAAATCGTGCTCGTTTGTGTGGTGTTTGAAAGTGAATAACTGCGCCTCATCTGTTCTTGATATGACTATTGACGATTTAAGAGAATTTATACAAACATTTTCAGGTTCTTGGTTTGACGAGAAAATTAAAAGTGAATGCAGCTTGAGAAAACAAATGACGACCTTGGAAGTGCAAAATGCTAAACCTTTAGAACAAATGGACACTGACGACTTCCAAGAAAATAACTTGCATTCTAAATCTTCAACGAAGGTAAAACAAATTATAGATTTAAAAAAATCGGTGACCACAGGAACATTCATTGCTAACCATCTTAGTGGAAACGAACCAGGAGAAACAGGCTCGCAGGAAAAACTTGAACGCTTTTTGGAAAAATTTAACTCCAGTTCGCAGTCCTCCTTGGAAGCAAGTCAATGTGATGCTCTCGTTCATGCTTTGAAAAATAAATTGGCCGTTATCCAAGGTTAGTATGTGAACATTGTGATACAGTACATTGAGTAAATCCTTGCAATGAGCAAATTTACAGATCTGTTGGTCTAAAATAATTCATTTGATACTTGCTGTTCAGTTCATGCTTATTGTAATTGCTTACTTGGGGAAGATATTCTTGCTTGGAGAATATCATTATCCCTATTCAAAGTAGCTAAACATCCCACATATTATGCTTGTTGCCTCATAAACTTTAACCTATTTTTTTCGAAAGGTCCACCAGGTTGTGGTAAAACATTCATCGGAGTCAAAATCGTAGAAATGTTGCTATCTCTTTCTCCGAAGCTTGAGAAACCGATCTTACTATTGACTTACAAGAACCACGCCCTTGATGAGTTCCTGAAACACACGTTGAGATTTTGCCCCATAGATCACATGGTCAGGATAGGAAGCAGATCGAAGGAACCGGAGTTGGAAAAATGTAATCTAAAATACATTGAAAATATCATATCGTATGAGAAAGCAACACACATTGAAATTCAAAACACGAAAACTGAAATCATCGATATAGAATGGAGAATAGAAGAAATCTCAGTCGAATTCCAAGCTAGTTCCTACCTTACCCAGATAAGTTTAGTAGACGAGCTCAGTGAGGAACAGCTACAATCTTTGATCGTTGGAGCAGGCAGGGAATGTGTACCGCCGATTTACCGGCTGGGCGAGAGGAACAATGCGGATCATACATGGATGAAGCAACTGTTGAACGATGTGTTACAAAAATATGACTCGGTTAAAGAATTTCTGTTGATGGCTTTGCAAAGCGGGGTGTCAAACAACAATGAAGTTGGTATTGCTTGCATTGAAGCTTTCGATAACGTATTTCAGCTATGGTTCCCTGGTCGAGAGGAACTACAAACATTAAAGGAATTTCAAGTTGAGTTCATTTTACAAATTGAAAGTGACGAAGATGCATCAAAAGAATCTCAAAACAGTGATGATGATGATAGCGATGAAGATTATGTAAAGCAATTACTCGAAACAAGAATGGCTGCAGGCGCAAGACATGGAGTCTGTTGGGATGGTCTTTTTGATCCCACTAACACCAAGAACCGAAATGATATTCTAGTCAATATCGCTGATTATCCCCCAGACATGGTAGTAAGTGATCAAATTCGCTCTGTTAACAATCTTTGGAGACTGGACAATGTCCAGAGGCTGCGGTTCCTGTATTGTATTCTTAACGAGAAGACAAGAAGCGTCTGTCAGGAGTTGAATGATCTTATCGAGAAGCTAAAAAGTTTGAAGAATCGTATAGAAGAGTTGGAAATGACTGACAAAGTTGAAATGTTGTCAGAGAAGAAGATCATAGGTGTAACAATCACAGGAGCGTCTATTAATCATGATCTTCTTCATCGTATTGGTCCAAATGTCGTAATCGTCGAGGAAGCCGCTGAAATTCTTGAACCCAGTCTTCTGGCTGCGCTGACTACATCTATCGAGCACCTGATTCTAATAGGGGATCACAAGCAGCTCAGACCACAAGTTGATACTTACAAATTGTGCAGGAACTTTCAGCTTGATGTCTCAATGATGGAGAGATTGATAGAATCTGGATTCCCTTTTAGATCTCTTGCTAAGCAAAATCGAATGCGTCCTGAATTTTCAGCCTTGTTACGTGATATATACCCTGATCTTAAAGATAACCTGCCAATGGTGTCGAAGAACAAGCCATTAAAGTGCATAGAGAAATCAATGTTTTTTTGGTGTCATGATGATCCCGAGAAGCAAGATCGTACATATACGAATGTTAAAGAAGCAGAGCGTATCATAGCTCTTGTTATGTATCTCTTATGCAATGATGTCCATCCGTCTGATATCACAGTTCTTTCAGCCTACCTCGGGCAAACTAAGCTTCTCAGAAACATGATAAAACGAGAGAAAGCCAATACGCCTAAATTTTTCCAAGAAGGTTTCGTCCAGGTACAAACAATTGATATGTATCAAGGAGATGAAAACCAGTACATATTAATTTCCCTGGTGCGTTCCAACGAAAAAAACAAGATCGGATTCTTGAATAAAATGAACCGTCGCTGTGTGGCTCAGTCGAGAGCGAAGTGTGGTATGTACTTCGTTGGAAACCACAACACCCTGCGCGGAGCCAAAAATTCATGTTGGTTAGCGTTTATCGATTCGATGAAGGAGCAAAATTGTGTCGGCGATAAATTTCCCCTTCGGTGCACGAAACACGAAACATCAAAGTATAATGCCACGGATTGCAATACTATTCGGAAAATAAACGCTGAACCTACACTCCTTTGCAAGCAGTCATGCGGTGATCCCTACCTCTACTGTAGTAAGCATACTTGCAAGAAGCCTTGTCATCCAAGGCACGACCACACTATTTGTCCCGAAATTGTCGGTGATCAATTCCCAGAATGTGGTCATGATGTAAATCGACCATGCCCTCAAAACATTTCCGATCTTAAGTGCAGATTTGAAGAAATCGTGAATCTTTCATGCGGTCACGAAGCTAAAAAGAAGTGCTCCCACAATATATTGGATGTTATTTGCACAATAACAGTAACTGCCACCTTCGCACGGTGCAGACACAAGACAGAGAAACTATGTCATGTCAAGATTGAGACGATTAAGTGTAAACACCCGTGTGAAGAAATTAATTCGTGTGGAAAACATAAATGTAAAGATACTTGCGGAAATAGTCATGGTCATGATTGCTGTTCAGAAAAGATTGGTTACAAGTTCCCAGTATGTGGTCATCCCTCTCCAAAGAAGAAAAAGTGTTCCGAAGATATATGGTGGGACTGCAAACACAAGGTGTATATCAAAGGAGCTTGCGGTCATGATATCGAAAAGAAATGCCACCAAAGTGAAAGCGAAGTGAAATGTCCTATTACACCATGCGCAAAACTGCGGAAATGTGGTCATCCTTGTAGAAATGCATGTGGAGACGACTGCGAGAAAGGTGACTGTGAGCATTGTCAAGCTGTATACCAAACGAAGATGGACGAAATCCATAAAGCAGCAAAAGAAAGGTTCTATGAACTTGAAGAAAAGATCAGAAAAAAAGAAATCCCACTCTTCTCTCGAGATGAGCTCTGTAGCAAAGGACCGACTGCAGCTGAATACCAGAAAGTTAACGATCAAGTTATGAAGTTCATTCAACCGTGTCACAGATGGTTCCCTACCATCACCAAAATTGAAAAAATTACCAATCTTGAATTGGAAAAGAAATTCGAAGAAGCAAAATACAGAGCATTTGGAGATTATATTGACACAAAGTTTCATGGTACATCTAATGATGGTTTAGAAGATATCATCCGAAACGGCTTCAGCATGCCAAAGGCTATTCCGCAGCCTCCAAAAAAGCGCGGTATGTACGGTCAAGGAATCTACTTTGCTACGGATTCGTCAAAGAGCGCGCGGGATATTTACACCAAAGGTTCTCAGAAACTTTTGCTGTGTCAAGTCATCCTCGGAAAGTCTATGACAGTCGAGAAAGCGGATAATTCATTGAATAAGAAGACGCTTAATGCAAATAAATGCGACTCTGTGTACGCTCCTCGAGGAACAGATGTGATGAATGATGAATTTGTAATCTTTGCTCGACACCAAGCCCTTCCAAAATACATTATCCATTTCTCCGACAGTAAACTTGTGCCACCTTCTCCATCAGTCCATACCCAACAGTCTTTTACTGTTAAGAAAATGAAAGCATCAAGGTCCGTGAATTTCCGAGATCCCTTTGAAATGTATTACCATTTTGCTGAGTCCCACTTCAGAAGAATGGCCGCGATGAGTAAAGCACCTCTTCCCCTGCAACAACCCACAATTTCCTCTATTGATATTGTCATCAACAAGGATCTGGAAGGCAAGTTTGAAGCAACCAAGCAAAATTTTAAAAGCCAAGGCATCCCTGACAAAGAAATTCTTGCTTATCATGGAACGGAAAAGGCCAAAATAAATAGTATCTTGGAGAGTAACCTACAGTTAAGTTACGCGAAAAGGCAAGCTTATGGTAAAGGGAATTATTTTTCAGAATTCCCTTCTGTCAGTCTAAGTTATGGTGATGGTCTACTCTTATGTCGCATTCTTCCTGGAAAGGAATTTGTGGATGCCAGTGGTTCAAATATACCCGCAGGCTACAATTCCAAGAAAGTGTTGTTAGACGTTCAGTATGCCAGTACTACAGGAGCTACAGCCGCAACAGCTGCCGCAGCCAACGTGAGTGGTGAAATGATCATCATTGAAAACTCTGATCAGATTTTGCCTTTCTTTGTTATCCATCGTTGAAATGACAATAAAATAATTTAGAACATGGCAGAAATAATTTTAAAATCATGCATTTTTACTGAAATTAAGAAAGATTATTCATAAATCATCGAATTGTGTGATGTAATTATATTGGTGGGATGATCGTTAATTCAGGGCCTTTTTTAAGGATTTTCCCGTGGGGGGGGGGGGCATTTTTTGAAAAGGGACTTTTCTGTGATATAATATATTGGAGGGGGATAGCAATGGTTCAAGGCTACGTGTGTCGCCAATATACCATGCATGAATGGGGGTGGTCTGGGGGAGTACTCCCCCAGAAAAGTTTTGAAATTTGAATCCCGGGAATGTCATTTCCTGCATTCTGAGCATCCAAATTTGCTCCAAAATTTATGCTAACTATACTTGTATTTGAAATAAATCAAGGAAAAACGCACAAAAAGTTAAAAAAAATTAATCATCATTTATCATTACTTATTAGAGGGATAATCCCCAGAAAATTTTTGAAATTTAAAACCCGGAAATGCTATTTCCTGCATTCTGAGCATCCAAAAAATAAAAAAATTATTAACAATAATTTATCATTACTTAGTGGTAGAAAAAAGTAACAATTTAAATCGATTTTGTTAAACAAGGACAAAGGATAAAGCCTAAAACTTACTTTCCGTTTATGTATTTGTTAATCTTCGCTGGTTTGTTTCTATAAATTTAGGGAAAAGGGACTTTTCCTGGGGGGGGGGCAAAATGTGATTTCGTGGGGGGGCACAAGGGGGGACTGGGGGGAGGGCATTAAAAAATGCCCTGCGTTAACTAATGGCATATACTGATTGAATTTTGATTCTTTATTGTTGTTATTAATTAAATTAACTAAATTTTCCTAGAACAAGAAGCTCTTTTGAGTACATAAAGTTAGGGCCTTGACACAAATTTTAGTAGTTTAAATACAACGTTTTCTTGTTCTATAATTGTGATGATTTTTAAATCTTAAAAGATTTTGCCAGTTACAATTGAGTACCACTTGTATGATTGGACTGTAGTAATTTGATTAAATTAGAGAAATGTATTTGTAGCTTTTTTCCTGAGATATGCTTTGATCAATATACATGCATGTACGTGTTTACAAATTTCACAAATTCAGTTGGAATGCCCAACTTATACTTGGTGGTTATTGAAAGCTAAACAAATATAGGAAACAAATGAACATGCATGGTGAAATCTTTGCGAGCCAGAAACAAGTGAGCAAAGGAACAATTTCCAAGAGAACACAAGAACACAGGGCCTATCCCCCCCAGGAGACCGTAACTGGATTTTCTCATTCAAAATTGAAGTACAACTTCTCTAAAGTTCATGCTTCGTCGTATTTCGAAATCCAAGAACCGCCATTGTTTTGTTGCAAATACGCATGCGCTTGACCGCAAAACACTTAATGCGCACGCGCAGATAACAAAAACTGATCTCAATCCAGGACTGGACAAACCTGGACAAGAAAAAAATATATAAAATGTGCGAAAGAAGGGCTGAACTGAAACAAGATGACATCGGAGTGTTTTAAAAATATATGATATTTTTATGTTTTGTGCATGTTACGGAAGTTTACCAAACATTCTGAGTAATGTACCGTGTCGAGCCTCGCCAGGATGGCCCAGGAACACTTCCAAGCCAACATTTAATACAATAATAACTTATTTAAAATATGAATCAGATGTTATTTTATACTACAGCAATTGCATGACGTTTGCAAGCGAATCTGTTTTTCAGGCTTTAAATATTATCACAATCCTAAACATTCCGGGCCGAACACAGGGGGGGGGGGGGTAACTGCCCCCCCCCCCCACTAGAGAAAACTATATTTACGAGTTTTAGAATGTCATTATTAATTATTCTTCGGGGATATTTGGGACTTTTTTCGGCATATAGGCCATACTTCCCCCTGGTGAAAAATTCTGAACATGCATATCGTAATTTATCAATTTTTATGTGCGGGGGGGGGGGGGGTTTTT